CCAAACCCCACAAAGATCGATGTCAAAATCATCGTGTTTTGCCACGAAAAGAACCGTGGAGGTCTGTACAAACATCAAGGATGAGTTTCAGCATCCCATATATGTCGTACACCGTCGTGAGAGGAAGAAAGAATTTCAAGCCTTTCGAACCTTCACAAATTTGAGAATTTCAAGCCTCTACGATTCAATCTGACACAAGAAAAGGGAAGAGGGAGGAGAGACGACGTGAAACCAAGGGAAAACGGACACCGAAACGGCGTTACAAAAGAGAGAGAAAGGAAACGGGTAAAGAAGACGATGTTCGTGGACTTCGGGTCGACCTGGATCCGTACCCATCCAGACCAATCTCTCAGCCCAATCTAGAGTCTTGCAACCTGTGCCCAGCCCACACACCAAAACTGTGACCCAATCCATTCTAGCTCAGAACCCTCGATAACCTTCTTCAACCCTCGCCAAGCACGCAAACTAAAACCGTGACTCGATCCAATCTTCAGTCGATCTACCTTCCACGAATCAGTCGATTTTCTGCAGTCACAGAAACCCAACCGACAACTCAGCCCGGTTTACCAGGCACAGTTAGCCCACAATCGAACTTGCAACTGACCCATAATCCGTGTTAAGGATATTTAGTAATAAATTATAGTTTACCATATATATTGTATTTGATATTTTATTATAAGGCAAATATCTAATATTTGCCTTATTATCATAGGTATCTTTCCATTTATTACTATTTCCATAACCTTGTAATTTATTTGATTATAAATAAGATAACTTTCACACCATTTAGGTATGGTGGATTAATCAAACATTCACAATCCGCATGCGACCCACGCCTCGACCTTAAATAGTCTAAACATGCAGAATCTCCCTATTGCACCAAGTGTCACCATCCGATGCAAAAATCCCTTGCTCTCAAGCGCGACTTCTCATCTTGAGAATCCCTTTTTGGACCTAACTGTACTGTTTCGACCCTTCCAAACAAATTTTCGACCTCAATTAAGGTAAATAAGGTTGTTTTAATGTCGTATTTCAAAATTTCGGGTCAATAATTTTTTCTTTTTGGACCCATCTGCACTGATTATTTTCTTTGTATTTGTATATTCCAAGTCATGCAAATAATGAAATATGATAAGGCCCAATAAAGTAGTAACGCATTAAATGTTCACGATTAAATGTATAGTAGCTACTTTAGTTAAGTAGAAAAATTTAGGGTGGTTACCTCCAATGACTCATCTTAAGATGGATTTACATCACAGTGATCATGTCTAGCTCGATTTTCCACACGACAGGTGCTAAAAATTTCTAAAATTCTTCTGGTTTGACGTAATTTCCCATTAAAATTAGGTCAATATCGAAATCGAGAAAAAACATAGACAAATAAAGATCAAACAGATGGAAAAAGAAGTATCACTCACTGGTTTTGAACCAGCATATACACAAAGGGGTCGACATGCACAACTACATATGCGCAGAGGCGATCTCATGCACAAAGATGGTATGAATCTCAAGGTGAATAGGATGCGAAGTCAGACACCTTATCCATTAGGCCATGGGCTCTTCTCATAATATAAGCAATCGTATGCAAATTGAATTTTCAAGAGTTTATTATAAGATTTGTCCCAAACGTGGAGTCCATTGATTACAGGTGAGTCCTCCTGATATGAAGATCAAAT